GTGCTACATCACACACCTTAGAGTATCATTCTTAAGTTAATACTTCATATTGTACCCGCAACTGATTGCCCCAAATAATACAACAACAGAGGAGGCAAAATATTATTCATCAAGTAGCATAAAAATACGTTAACAAGCTAAATTATGAAGGCCAGTGGGAGTTTTGCCTCCATTAAATCAACGCTTTATCACTGCCATGCCTAAAGTCTCATTAAAAACCCCACAAAACCCCCCACAAAACCAATATAAACCAACCAATATAAACCAACCCAAACCAGATAGCACTTCCAACTGACCTGATGTCAAGGACATCCGACGATGGATGGAAATACAGCTCGAGGGGCATCATCTCCTGCAAACCCAGCTTTACAAAGCCCAGAACCATTGTCACACACAAGGGTGGTGGTTTCACCCTCATCGCACATAGTGCCTCACAATTCTGGCTGCAAAACAGGAATTTTTTTTGGAGGGGAAGGGATGGAATAGGACAGAAGGAGCTCTCCATCAGTCAGAGAGCTAACGGCTGTAAAAAGAGTAATTTTGGAAAAGAATAAACCTAAACAGCAAAGTTTACATGAAAGCTCTAATCTTGCAAAGCGTGTTAAGTACCTACATAAATTTCTACATAAATTTCAGCTTGAATAGGTTTTACCACAGCAAATCAATCAGGACGTTCAGCTTTTGTTTCCAAAAGTGAAATCTCTTCCGCTGCAGCCTTAAGGGGTCCAGTGATATTCCATTAATTGGAGTTGTGGCTATGGGACAAGTGCAGCTGGAGGATACACACGCAGCTCCAGTTGGACTGAAGCAAGTATAACCCCATCTCTTCCGAGGCCGAATTATCTTGTAGAAATGGCATTTATTAAAAACTAATTGATCAGATGCACCTGCCGGTTGGTAAATAAGAATCACTGCACGCTCATTACTTTAAAAGCTGCAGTTGTTCCCTGGACATATGTTTAAATTTGCCTTTTTCTTAGGAGGGTCATCATCAATCTTAAATTATCAAGTAAAAAAAAAGTCCCACCAAAATTCTGGGAAAGCACTTGCTGTTTGTTTTTAACTGACAGTGCCTCCACGACGTGAAGTGCTCCCTAGACGACCCATTCCATATTTGTAAGGGGTAAATACCTTGTCCAAGTGGTTATTCTGGGAAACAAGGGGCAGCTGGCACAACCGCCCGGGGACGACTCAACTTCAGCAGTTGGCCCACACATCAGACCAAGTCCTGAACTCATCGAAATTCATGGCAAAACTCCCAGAGGACGGGCCTGAATTTCACCAAGACTTCTGTTTCGGATTCCTCAGTTATTTTTAGCTCTGGGCGACTGCCTCTTTAGGCAGTCAAGGGAAGGAACGGTTTGGGGTTTTTTTCCTTCTCTGGCAGCTTCACCCAGCAAGGAAGGGTACGTCAGCAATGGGAAAGAAATGAAAACCAGCACTTGTCCAGCAAAGTTCGTCTCCCTAACGATGCAAAAATCTTTTAAGCATCATTTTTGCAATTAATGCTCTCCAGCATTCCAGCTCCCCCCGAGCTTTACAGGCACAGCAGCCACAGCGGAAAAGTCCCCAGCATTAAGGTGTGCCCCATAACCAATTCCCAGTCTCCTCTTTACGGGATTTAAAATGACTTCAGTTCTTCAGAGGATCCCTTCAAGAACACCAAAGTCCCTGAAGATTTACGAAGAGAAACCGTTTCAGCTTTTCAAGTTTAGGCTGCGTGAAATTCCTGGAGTTCTCTCCTCTACGCTTTACAAAGCAAGAGCGTGACATGACTGATCCCAACAGTCGCAGGTGAGATGGAAGAACAATTTGAAAATACAACATTATTTTAAGTAAGAAAAATAATTTTAATTCTTGTTGATGTGCCTGTGACTGGAAGATTCTTTTTCACATAAGGAAATTGGATAATTTTATCACATACATTTCTTGACAGCTTTAGTGTAAGAACATTTAATCATTAGTGCTAGCAGCTGGTATTTTGAAACATTGGAGTTGCCATGAATTGTTATTTTCTTCTAAAACCCTCAGGAAAAGGCTTTTTGAATGCCATAAACCAACCATCTACCAGCAGTACCCAACGTTACAGAACTGCACCCAGACTCTGATTCAATCAATGCAAACCAGAAGGAAATTAAATTCTTAAATACATCAGCAACAGCATGAGACAAAATACTAGAATTTAGGAGTAGAGAATTTTAAAATAGAGAAACGTCACAAAGCTCTGAGAGCTCAGAGTTGCTCCTTGGCCCTACAGAAGGCTGGACAGGACCAAGACGCTTAATTCTCTGTGGTGAGAAATAATTTGCCTGGTTAGTCATACACAGCAATTTGTGTTTAGCCTTACCTGGGGATCTCAAGTCAGTCCAGCCACACACAGAGAAATAAAATTCAGAGGGAAAGCCCAGTCGACATGTACGTGTAACCCTCTGGAGTACTGGCAGCAGTTGTTTCCACTTATAATCACTACTGGTTACATTCCGGATTCACTGATAAAAATCAATCACTGAACTTAGTAATCTCCCATTGAAAAAAAATGTAGAAAAATCTTGCTTTGTATGTCATTACTTAAAACGAGATGGAAAAAACTAATAAAGAGCATTAATTAAACTTTGCACTGATCGAGTCGTGTTACTGCTTTACAGCTGCTGAATTTACAGGTTAAATAACCATTTTCACAAAGCAGCTATTTGGAATCCCCTGACAAAGGTCTTCAACAACTTCCCTAAATTTTCTTGGTTTTCATTTTTAGCTTCGATTGTTACTTCGCTAATTTCCCAGTGCAAAATTAAATGCAATTAAGACGAGAATTTTCCTTCTGGTTTCTGCAGAAGTCCCGCTGTCCAGCCAGCAAACACTACTCAAGTGTTACTCCAGGTTTCAGAGACCGCGCACCACTCTGATTCTTCCCAGCGAGGAGGAAGGTCCACACGTTTCCCTGCAGCCACGCAGTCAAACCTGAATTACCTTACACCAGGAGATCCTGTGCAAATCCAGGAAGAAGAAGTGTGTAAATCCCCAAAAAGACCAAGTGAAGCGAAGCACCAAAATCGTGAAGTAGAACATGAAAAAAAAAACTCTCGGGGCCATACTGACCCAGGAAATGGTGTTGATGGGTGACAGCCTCTTTGTAAATGGCATGATCTCGCCTCCCGTCACACTTATATCAGTTTTGGGAATGGAGTTCACAGAACATCCACACGTGTCAAGGCATTTTCGTTCCGCAACCTTTTTTTTTTTTCTTTTTTTCAGTTTGTGCTTATCACAGTGACAGCACAAAGCCCTGGATAAATTAGGGCAGAATTTCTAACATCTCTGGATCCCTTCCCACTCGCTACGCCTCATGAGAGCAGGCTGTCTTCTCCAGAAAACAGATAAAAATCCCCAGACAAAAATCTCCAGACAAAAATCCCCCACACCAGATGAGTAAGACTGGAAGTATCTGTAAGTCCACTGTTGTAGCCGGAAAACATTCTGCTTCATTTTAACACAATTAGCTCAGAATAGCTCGTTACCAATCTCTTCACACCCATTTTCAGGCTGGAAAGGGTAAAGTCTTACCATGCACAGTACTTCAGCTGTACCGGGTGTCTGTCTGTGTGGCACAAAGACTGAAAATAGCTGCCTTATCTCAGTCCTTGGGTGATCCCAGGGCTGAAAACAGGGACTGAATCAGCAAACAGCCATTTAAAAGAGATTACCTTTTCAATAATACCAAAAAAAGACATCCATTCTATTGGAATATCTTGGATTTATAAAGAAATTCAGAAATCTGCTAGACTAAGAAGCCATTTAAAAGAGATTACCTTTTCAACAAAAACAAAAAAAGACATCCATTCTATTGGAATATCTTGGATTCATATAGAAATTCAGACCTCTACTAGACTAAGAAGTATTAAAGAACTGTCAAAAGAAGAAAGTTTTCAGGATTTACCTACAGGGGTAACCAGAGCTGGCAGTATTTCCTATCCCACATGGCAAAAACAAACATCTAAACAGAACATCTAAATGTCCACCCTGCACACAGACATGCCAACCAGTCCCGCTTTCTCACCCGTCACCTTGCAGAGAAGAATCCTTGGACCTTAAGCCAATAATTCACTAAAAAATTTTCAAAGTCAACCTTGTACATGCCCAGCAGTAAAACGGATGGGATCCTGCCCTTTCCGTACTCATTAGGTTTTGCTTTTCCCCACAAGATTTTTCAGATTTTAGTTCTGCAAACAGGAAATCAGATGGCTACTCATTTTCTTTTTTTTTCCCACTTTATGGCTATTCCTTCAGACTCTGTTTTGAATTTATGTGCATTTTATACAGATGTGAGCGGAAACGCAGAGAGAACAAACACCAAGAAATAACAATACAGGGTGTAAAAACAACTTTCCATCTGTCTTAACAAATGAAGTATTTTTTGTATCAGAGAAATAGTTGTGCCGTTTCAGAGAATGCCGCAACACAAAATGGATGTATTGATGTGCAAGGCGTAACACGTACCCGGTATCTAGGGCAACTGAAAACAAATCCTGCTTCTTACAGCCTTTTAGTTGAAAATGTACCCTTTATTCATTCATATTTCGAAGCCCAAACATGGAAAATGTTGTGTCCTAGTAAGCTTGAATTTCACGTGCTGAGCAGTTGAGTAACATTTTGCCTCAAAGACAGGCAGTAATAAAATCCACCAAGACAAGAAACACAAGTGAATTGAAAATGAAAAAAAGTCCCACAAAAAAACCACGAGGAAAATTACAGAAATTGCACCTTTAAACAGCAGTAAAGGAATATAAGCAGTTGAAGACATATCATGTCGTCTCAATTCTGAATCTTTAATTTCTGAATCTTTAATCATCGGCTTACCTCATTGTCACATACAAATTTGTGCACCTTGTCACAGCTGTTACAAACTGTATGGCTAATGAACAACCTCCTTAATTCTTTTATTGTCAGAAAAGAAAAAAAAACACCAAAACAAAACTAACCAGAAAAAAAAATAATCAAAAACCCAGTAGTTCTTCCTTTATTGCACTCTATAAAACTTCTTGTTATAATCAAGAAGCCAATAAACAGTAATAGCTGAATATTCCTTTAAAATTTATAGTTTAACTCTTAAAATAAAGTTTATATAGAAAAGATATAATTTACAACCCATTCAGTAGTAACCAGTCATTACGTACCCACAAACAACGTTAAATAACTTGTATGCAGCAGTTTCTTTATAGGGCAGAGGGGAATATTTTCTCCTTAGCAAATATAATATTCCACTGTTCTAGAGCAATTCAAGTCAAACTTTGGAGCAACTGTGATATAGACAAATTTCTTGGAAGAAGCTCAAGATTCATGTAACTGTAACGAGAATATATACAACTGTGTCCAGTGCATAGCTTTTACCAGCAGCATGTGAAAAGTCCATCACCTTGGATTGGCACACCATTACCTACGGGGAAATCAGTCCCCCAGCAAAACGCAGCGTAGTCAGAGAACACCAGTGAGGCACAGTAAAACCACCAGATGTAGTGTAACCAGGTACGTGAGGAATAAATAGCGGGATTTCGCTCTGGAGGTCAGCAGCTTAGAACAGTAAAGACTTCGTCCTCGAAGCCACCTGCGGAAGGAAAGGGCTCCTCCTTTCATCTGGGGAGGAAATAAAAAACATCAGTGACTAAACACAAACAAGAAGCAGCTACCTGAGGTTTCTGAGGTGCTATAAATGTTTCGCCTCTGATGCAGCACAGGTTGTCAGCCCAAATAACTTAAAGGCCAAAAAACCAGCATTAATGAAAAGGGAGAGGCGTGGATAATGAGGTATTTTTGTGCTACATAATCACTAGAGATGAAAAATCCTACCTATATGCATATACATTTTATCTAATGGCCGCGTGCGACATAAATACGATTACTCGCATTTTGATTTGGACGTATATAATGTGTTCTCTGGCACGGTTTACACGCCTGCCTTTATTCGACTCACAACCCAAAGAGAAATAAATTAAGGGCATCTTCTCAGTGAAAGAACCTTTCAGGAGTACTTTGTTACTTTGAATGGATGCCTCGGTGGCCCATGATACCCAGCAGAATGAAAGAGTCCTTCACAGCCAGCAGTCAGACCAGTCGCTGCCTTGTGGTTTATATCAAGAGGATAAACCAAAAATCAGCGACTTGCAGTCACGCAGAAGGGAAATCTGCACTCCAAGAACAAATGAGTTGAAAGAAAGGTACAGCAGAGGGAAGAGAACTAAAAAAGAGGCTGGCATGAAGGAGATAATGAGCTGTGATGTCTTCAGTCTAGTCTGCAAGCAGCAGTGCACAATATGCACGCCACTTAAAACAGTTTGTAATTCAGGGGTTTTAAAAGCTTCTATTTACTTACTTTTCGCACAACGACGTGTTCGCTAGGATTGATGATTAAGGCTTCCCTTTCCTCCTCAGTTTCCATCTGAACAGTGTATTCGCTCGGTGCAGACCCGTAACTGCTTACTTCAAATCTAGATTAAAATTAGAAGGGAGACAATGAAGTACTAAATTCACGTATTTTGTGTTCCTGGGGGAACGTCCCCACAAAAAGCACTAAGATCTAGTTTATGTTGCCAGGCCTTTTTCAGTCTCTATTTCCAACCTACTCACAAGGTTTTTTTCTTGCATTTTCAGATGATGGTAGCAACGGACACTTCCCAGAGGCAGAAGGATAATGAGATTTTACATCTAAACAGTGGCTGTGCTAAAACCGTTACATGCAAGAGTTTTTTCTAATTAAAAAAAAAAGAAATACCACTGACTGCCAAGTCCAATATCCGAAGCAAGAAATTAATTAAATAAAGCCCAAAGCCCATAACGTTTTCCTGATCCATAGAATAAAACGTAGCTTTTTAACAGTTACGCATGCATTTCCGCTGCTTTGGCTACTGTGGGCTCACAGACAGGTTCTATTCTTTGTCTGTTCTATTATTTCCTCAGAAATCTAACACTCTCAGGAAAACCTATCTCACTAAAAATAAAAGGCAAACCAAGAAAAAAAAACAAACAAACACCTGACCCTCCTTTTTCCAGTTCTGTAGCACACTTTGCATTTGCTCCAGGCCTCAGGTGAACGAAAACCTCGCCACGCACTGGTCCGAGGGAAAGCAGAAACAAAAGAGGACTTTGGCTCCCTGAACATGCAAGTTATTTCATACTCACACAAGGGTTTAACGCAGCAATTGAAAAAGAAATACGTTTTATGGACGCTTTTCTTTCAAAAGAAAAAAAAGACATATTTTAGAGACAGGAGTATTTTACCTGTTACTTCGCTCCTCAGAGAGTCCAAGAGCTTCTTCTGCAGCTTCTCTCCTCCTCTTCTCTTCTGAAAGTGTTTCCGTCAGCTGGGAGAGAGCCTGCTGCACCGAATCATACTGTTGCTCTGTCTCTGCAAGCCTAAGACAAAAGTAAATCTGAAATCAGTAATCTACATAATTTAAAAAATATTTTCTTGTTCTTTTTAATTAATGTTCTTTTTTTTGTGATAAAGATTTAATTACAAAGAGATGCTTTAGATTAGGTGTTGAAATAGTCACCAATACATACGTATCTTAAGAAGAACACGCTGCAAATACTAGCAGATGATAACAATTCAAGAAAATTACTATGATTCATTTAATCTACTGTAAATCCCCCAAAATGCCTTAGAGGGACAGAAAAGTGTGACTTTCACACTTACAATACAGCTGTCAGGAAAACAATATTGCTAAAACATGCTCTCAGGCCTGACCTTTTTCTGAGTTCATTTAGCTCCACATTGTCTATCTCAACAATCATCGCAGATCTTTCCTGTGGCGCCCCAGGGGGAACTTCTGCTCTAGTTTCGCCCTAGAAAATATTAAACAGGGAAAAGAAAAATCCAGTCACCATTTATCTAAGTTGCTAAAAGAAAAAAATCATCTTTATCTCAATTAAAGAAGTCATAAGCACCACAAAGCAGTGGAACAAACCACTCTTTGTGCCACTTAATCTTTTAATTTCCGGAGCTGCAATTTTCCAAACGTGTTTTCTAACAGAAAGTTGATGAAAAATTCTGTCTGTGTGTGCTGCAGGACTTGAAGGTCACATGGACGCTGCGTAACGCAGCAACCTCTCAACAACGTCTGAAATGAAAGAAATTACTTTACACACTGAATGCAGTTTCATAAGTAATGCAGCTGTTAATTTCTTTTTATGTTTATAGTTCTTATTCATGTTTATCTCGGTCTATAGAAAAGTAAGGGTTCTTTTCTATATGTATCCATATGATATTTTAGGGTATTATATTATAAATATATATAAATTTATAAATATATATCATTATAAATAATGATTCTTAACTGAGACAGTAAAGGAGAACTTCTTAAAAATGAAGAGATCCCAAAGGAATAAGCTTACAGATGTGTGTGAGGGTTGGCAGAGGATGCCAAAATGCTGAACTGGTGACACAGATCTCACTTCTGAAAATACTACTCAGACACCTTGCAAAACGATTCATAACTGATCTGAAATTATCACTAAGCTTTGCTGGTCCAGTGATTAGCGATCATCCAACTATCTCTGCCAGCTGTAAACCAAGTAAAAAAAAATAAAAACAAAAAAAGCATGTATAAACAGCTCCCTTAAACAAAAAGTCAAATAAAACCAGCTTTACAACAATAAAGACAAGTTATCTTCAGCACGTCATGGGGTAGAAAAAGTACTGAATCAATACAAGAAAAAGCGTTCACTCCATTTTTGGTCGGAAAACCAGACAAGTATAAGAATAGAGCAAGAAAAACAAACTAAAACCATATATTTGTTTACCTGAACAGTGCCTTGGAAGGACGACACTCGCATTGTCTGATATTCCCTCTCCAGCCGTAAATACCGATTTTGCAAGTCGTTGTAATGAAGCTGGTTATCCCTCAGAGTCTGCGAAAGAGTCTTCAACTGGTCAGACAAGACAGCGTTTTCTTCGGTCGACTGCACAACCTGGAAGAAATTAACAATTATATAAATAAAAATCAGGAATTCTCTCCTCCAGGAAATTAACTACAGATTTGAGACCTGCCGTTGAAAAACACCTGATGACTCGTTTCCAAACTGCATCAACTTTTTGGCCAGCTGACAGTTTGGAAAGATTTACCTACCTGTTTTATGAGCAGTGGAAATAATGAAACCTGAGGAATGAGTTCCCCCGTCATCAACATGCCTAAACCAGAAACTCAGGGTTTTAAACCCCAACGCTTGCCAAAATATCACCACCCAGCAAAAGCCAATATATGGAGCTGCTGCTTCAGGATGACGCGTAGAGTCAAATAAACACTTTCACCAGGGAGTTCAGGAATGCTCAGCAGTCGAGTTTTCATTTTTTCCAAGAACCAGACCATAATTTGGGTCTTGCCCATTAACCACACACTGATCTTCACTCTAGGAAGCTTGAGATTTCTACACTAGTTTCAAAGTTTAGTTGAAATTAGGTTTAAAACAATGTTTGGGTGAAGCAGTGAAAACAGACAGTGGCAGATGAAATGTAACATCAGGTCACCCAGAGAGATAAATATTAAGGGAATTTCCAAGGACATTTACAAACTTTTGTAACAAAAGGAAACATTTGCGAGGTATTTAAAATTTGGTAGGAGATAGCTAAAACTCTTGTTCCAGTTAGTGCAGCCATTTGTTTCTGTCTACAATGAAAAATACTTTACTTTGAGTAGAAGTTCGGCAGTGCCTCCAGAACACAGATTCAAATAAACCTCTCCCTGTCAAATGACAAGTCAGGAGAGTCTGGCAGAAAGAAAGCACTGACATTTAGTCTGGAATTTCTTCTCTCAGCCAGTTTTGAAAAACTTAAGTTTTAAAACAAACTAACTTTCACTCATGTAAGACACCGCCAATTTAGCAATATTTCTACGCCGCTACCGGCCGGGATTCACAGGAGCTATTTGGGGTCACAGCTGCTGTTTCCAGTTACCTTGGAATTCATCTGCTGGAAATGCAGGTCCTTCTGGTGCATCTCCTGAAGGCAGCGCTGCAGCTCAGTCTGAAGCTGATTCTTCTCAGCTAAGACACGTTTGATTTCCTCTGGTGTATCCGCACTCCCAGCGAGGGTGGCAGTTTCTAAACCCTTTACAAGTATAGGCACGTTCAGAGTAAATCCTAGAGGAGACCTCCAAACAATATACAACTCCAACATTAAATATACAGAAGGCTGACATAATAATTTCCTTTCATAACATCATTTCCTCACAAGGTAATATCGCGTTTGCAAGAGACTTTATACACTAAAAAGAAAAATCTTCGTAGTGCTTTCAACCTAAATACTTCAATTAAAAGAAGCAATTAAAAATTACCAGGAAAAGGGAAGCCAACTTAGTTTTGATTCCCAAATACTGTGATGGATTAAATAAAAGGGAAAAAACAGAAAAATCCAGATTGATTTAAAAACACTTTTGAAAAAATATTTTCAAACTGAAAACGTACGGTATTCATGAGTCTTAGAGGAACAGCTACATAGATGAGTTTAAAGCTGGAAGTCCATTTTGCAACAAAAACAAAAAAACCCCAAACACCCAGCTTTATCGCTGATTCACAGCTTTGCCCTTCTTTATCTCCAGCAGGTCAACATTCTGATGTTGACCTCCAGTAACAGAGGGAACTGGGCCATCTCTAATACTTCGTGGAATCTATTTTCCTAAACAGTTACAAGATAGAGACTTCTACCACATAAAATACTCCATAACCCAACAGACATGACTGTTCAATAGCTTTTATACATTATTCTGATCATGGGAAATCAACAGCGCATGAGACACAAACTCGACCAACCAAAATGTTGGTTTTAGCAAAATGAAATGAATATGGTTTACTTCCTTGGGCACAGAAAAGGCAAATAAGAATATTATCTGGAAATAACACTTTCCTTGAACCTTTAATGCTAGTCTACAAAAGCAGACAGCAATTGCCAGGCTGGGCCTCAGCTGCTGCCTTTCTAAATCGAGTATTTCATTCCTGGCAGGAGCCAACTCCAGCTGCTTCAGGGGAAAGGCGAGAACATTTCCATCAGGCACATCTCTCCCTTCTCCCCCCAGTTAGGTCCTGCTCTAATCCGCAGCAATCGGGGATTGATTTAGGCTCTAAAGCACAAATTTTATTAGATCTTTAAAAATCATTAGCATTAATCAAAATGCTGAAAACTTCTGTCAACAGAGTTCTTTTTTTGATCCTCCTAAAATCTGCGTCCCTGAAAACAGGCTGCAGCTATAATACATCTGAAAAAATGTCCACGCCACCAGAAAGTGCACGTTCCTCTACGGGCTTTGTATTTGTGACCCAAAATCCCCTATCCTGGGGTTACAAGAAGTATAGATCCTCATTTCTCTTACATCCCATTGCTGTTGAATCACATTTGAACCATTCTTTTTTCTAACTTCTTCAGTTTATAGTCTCAGTTTAACTAACCTAGGACATTACTTAAGTATTATGTAGCAACACCTCGCCAACAAGCAAGTAATTTGCAACGTAACCACAGCAAACTCCTCCTCCTTTTTGACTAAGACTCAGAAACATTATTGTTTCATGACCTTTGCCTTTCGCTTCACAACCATTTCATGTCTTCCTGAAGGTGCCTTCCCTGTTTTTAACCACTAAAATGCATCACGTCAGTGAGTTTTCTCTGTTGTTTTATCAACATATACGCAGGTTGCAAATTTAATACAATAAACCGACAGGAGATTTGTGCCTCCTGCTACATTTCACTTGTTCACCTTGATCGGATAGTTGATGCCAGCAGAGACCGATTTCTTAACAACCACGTCTTGTTGCAGCTTCTGGAGTTCGGCGATCTGCCGGTCCTTCTCGGCGACTGTGATCTGACACTGGTTTCGTAGCGCCTGGGATTCTGAGAGGAGGACAGTTTTTTCCATTCTGAAAATAAATAAAAAAAAAAATTAGACTAGGCGTTAAATGATGACACACTACATGCAAGTTGATGAAAAGGATAGAGCTCTACTTACTGTTATTTCTGAAATGGCTAATGGTATTTTTGGAACAGTTACATGCAAGTATGGAGCATTACATGAACAATCTCAATACACTCTTTAGTTTAAAGACATTTGCTTAAAAAGAAATGAAAGCAAAAATCAGAAAATAAATCCTGGAAAGTGATAACACCACATTTGCTTCATCACAAATCTCCAGAATGCCGCATCTCCAGAAACTAATGTCACACATAGGGAACATCACAAAGGGCATAAAAGTAACTGGCATCCTTTTCAATCCAATTTAGTATGTGTTCGTCAAGTCTGCAGAAAAGAAATGTAGAAGACTAGTTGTGTGAAGATAAAGGTGGGGCCGGCCTTCTGATTTACAACCCCTTCTGAAAAGTATAAAGCAGTTATTATCTCACCCAGACTTTCAACTAGAGATCTAGAAATTGCACAATGGACAATAAAATGCAATAAGGCACAAGGATACCACCGATTGGCCTCAAATTCAAACAAAATTATCTTTGCTGTGCACTAAGAAGAAGAATGTGGCACCAAGCGTCGAAATGAGATTCTTGAACCGTAGTTCCATACGTCCCGAGTCACCAACAGAACAGAAAACATTCTGTTGAGACTGTTTGAGACTTTACAGAAATCAAGAGACCGTCACGTAAAGATGCAAGGAAAGCCATGAACAAAGACAACCCTGTGAAAGTTGGTCTCGTGCATTACAGAAATATTCTTATGCTACTTCCTGCTAAAATACATGTAATTTTGGTTTTGTGTCAGTTTTAAGGCAGGTTGTGACGCCACTGAAGAATTCTAAACAAAAGCCACGTGTGTTATTTAACTTTAACCTTTATACCTTAATCCAGCAAGCTCGTTCTGGTATGACGCGATCTCCCTCTCCGTTTCTGCTTGGAAGGCTTTTGTCTGATGCAATGCCTTCTCCAAATCATCAACCTTGGTCTTCAGCTTTGATATTTCAACAGCTGCAAGGCTGGCTCCTTCTTTGGCCTACGTTTAATAAATATGATTAGTGAACTGCAACGAAAACTATACAGCTGAAGTTTTCTTAGTACTAGAATTTTTTTTCCCCATTTGCTCTGTTTTAACAGTTTACCTAATCTCCCAAAACTGTAAGCATGCCTTCTCCAGTCACATAATATTTTCTTAGCGCTCACACAATTTACAGAATTAAAACTTCACAATCTAACACGTCTCTACACACTCCCTGCCTAAAGAAAAAAAAATGAGAAAGTGACATAGCTAATTAAAACTCACCCATCTTTCCCTTTCGTTCTGAGAATTACTTTTACAAGAATTAATCTCATGGATGCTGTTGCAACCAACGGGAAATGAAGCTGTGCCCTGGTTTGTTTCAGAAGTTACCTTCTGACTGCCAAGTTCCTGCAGCAATTGGTCTCGGTCATCCTGAAGACTGGCCATAGCTTTGGAAAAGGCTTCAATCTGGTGAACGTAATTCCCACACTCAGATGAGAGCCTGCTAACCTCCAGTTCTCGACTGACTAGCGACTTACAGAGATTTTCAATTTCAGCAGCAATCTGACCAAGCGTAATCTTATCTGCAGCATCAAAACCAGCCCCATTCAGAAGAGAATTTTCTTTGAGCATACGGACAAGATGCAATTTAAAGCTGTCCAATTCAGCTTCAAGTTCATCTCCTTTCCTTCTTTCCGTCTTGAGCTCAGACGTGTACTTGCTCTGAAGTACCTTTAAGTCCTCCAGTATCCTATCTCTATCGTTTTGCAGAGCAGTCATTGCTTTCCCAAAGGCCTCGTTTTGGGACCTCAGCTCACTGTTTTGAGACTGAACTTGTAAGATCATCTTCTCTGCAAAAGCATCATCTCCATGTTCAAGCGTGAAAAGAGTCTTACTGTACTCCTTATCCGCGTCCTTAACATTCCT